ATGGAGGCTTACATCCCACCAATTAGCACTAAAAATACTGCATGCAAAATTCACACAGCTGCCTCAAACTGCATCGAGTAATCTTAAATAGATTTGACAATGTTGTTTCTGACACTGTATGACAGTGTTATCTATAAAAACACTGAAGTGAAAACAGCCATCTTGCCACCTGAATTTTGTCCATGCTTTTACCAGAGGTTTACTTTGGACAACAGATGTCTTTTCTGATCAATAACATTTCGAGTAAGGGGGAAATGGTGCACATCATCACCAAACTGCTGCTTTAAAAAAAGTTTTTTTTCCCATTTACCTTCTCCACATGCAAAGCAAGCTTGACCCCATTATGCAACCATGACAGAGCCACGATAGGGTCTCCATCGACAGAACTGCTTTGAGTACTTTCCCAGCTGTTCACCAGGTGCTCTGTCATTGCCCAGCACTTGATCTGTCCATCTCCATCAGCAGAGAGCAGTCTGGATCCTAGCCACACATAGTGAAACACAATGGTCAGTTATAGTGGCTTCAATGAGGGCCAAAATCACTACAATGTTTTTGTTTTCCCTGAATTAATATACAATATATAAGGGTTATAATCCAGACCATGTTGCTCAATCTAGAAACTGACGTGTAATTCTGAAACGGCACTCATAACTGCAGATACTAATAGTCGTGCATACAGCCTGTTGAAAAATTAACAATCTTTCAACTTTTTGCCTTAAGCAACAGCTCATAGAGAGGACAACTATAGTAATAGTTCATATGTTTGAATAACCTGTTGCCACAGATACCTTTGACATTTAGTATATAGAACACAAATTTGTTTTCTATAAACATCTTGAGAAACAGCACTATAAGGAAGCACCATTAGCAGTTTCCAAGCTGAGAAGCAGGTCTTGAACAACTGATATTTGAATCTTGAATGACAGATATCTGAATGGACAGGTTTAGCACATAAAAATAAAATAGTTCTAAGTAAATCTTATGCACTTGGATTTACGTACCTGACTGATCCCACTCCAAACAAGAGATGACTTCTGTATGACCCGAGTTTATGGAGTAGACATCCCAGGGATGTTCAGTGTCAATGATGTGAATCATATGACTGAGATCTAAAACACAAAGAGTATGATGTTTATTAATTAAAGACTTCTAACAAAATTGCTATCAGACTCATAAAATCCTATACTGGTCAGGCTCTAATTACAATAGCATTTTTGAAATTCTTAATTGGCTTATAAACAATTTAACAAAATACGTCCAATAATGATAAATATATGATATGACAATTCAAAATAAAATGAAATGTTTAGTAATAACTGCTATGGCATAAACCAAAAAAAAACTTAGTATAGTAAAGGAGGTGTTGTCATTACTGACCATAACCAAACAAAATCAATGTAGTCTTTAATTAGGTTATTAAAATATAATTGACATCAATTTAAAACCTTATATCTGACAGCTTGTTTGCAACTCAGCTATGTTCTTTTTTCAACAACCATTCCAAGACCCTCAAAATATCTCGCGATTTCAAAAAGTATTATATTTATGCTATATTGCCCAACCCAAGTTTTACTGGGGAAATCAATGGATGACACTGGTTTACGTAAGATGTACAGACTCTTCCTTTCATCTCTCATTCATGTTTTACAGAACTTAAAGGAAGGGGGGGAATAGCAAAAATACAAAATTGCTGTATACTTATTTTTTTCAGACATCTGATCAGTTGGAACAGACAACAAAAAGAACCAGTAGTGCTACATTTAAAACTTTCAAAAACTGTGAATATTGTGGTTTTGAGTCAACATTTGGCTAAACTGTGCATCATTAAACACGTTTAAACAGGACTAATTTTGCTCTCTTTATAATGAAACATGCAGTTGGTCCTGCATACTGGTACTGGTGATATGCACGGTATGTTCTAAAAAGCACAGAGCGACATAATTTATCACGATAATGATATATATTGTCATATTGTCCAGCCCTAGTTTAAGACGTACCTTCTGCCAGTCATCTGTCATTTTTGTATGTTACGTTTATTCAGTATGTATTCTTTTGGATGGCTACATGTTAAAAGCTGAAAAGGGTGATGATTGATATGAGGACTTCTCCTACCTTTATCGTCTTCTTCATTTTTTAGGTCTGTGGTAAAGGCAATGAGGTTTCTACAGGACCACGCACACACCAGCGGGATTGAGGGGCGATGGTTGCTTTTGGGTCTCTTCTCCCACTCGCACATATACACGACCTCCATGATTAATTCATGGACCTTTCAAAGGCGTGTATGTACCGTATATGTCGCTAAAAATCGCTGAACTTCACACAGACGCTCAATTCATTCAGTCGGTGCCACTGCACGAACCTAGCTAACTAACTAGCTGTTTAGCTGGTTCGTCAAAACAAAAGCAAGAACTGTTAGCGTTAACAAAATAAAGGGTACAAATGCGCCTCATTTACCAAACTACATTTTATCCGTACGGTTCTGAGAAAGAATAACCACCCCAGCGTTTCTGAAACTCTATTATGTTTCATGTACGTGAAGAACAGTTGAGTACAGAGTGATTTCTGTTTGACTCTGCCTCTGTACTGCTTTCTGCTCCTGACAGAAAACTGTCACAGCGCCACTGCTGGTCTGGAGTATAATGACCGTTGGTGTCTTAAATTGAGACCCTCCTCTGTATCCAGCGGTTTTAACTTTTAAAGGGATAACTCCACTCATAGTTCTCCATAGATCAGTCGTTGAGGTGTAATCAAAGTCATTCAGTGTGGTGTATAGAACTCGGATTTCTTTACAGTGGTGGTTATAAGAGCCAGGGGTTGTATGTATACAGCGCTCTCCCCTAGAGCCATCAGGCTCTTCAACTCTTCCCAGTGGGGCCAGAAGAAGAAGAAGAGGAGAGATGAGGACTGAATCTGAATCTCATGCTAAATCATAGGTTCATTCTATCCATCTGCACATATGGACACCTTACTGTACATATTGCACTATCTGCAACCCCTACCGCGCATCTTGCACATCTGGACACCCCACACCTAGACATTTTATTTCAGTACCAATATATGCACATATTTATTCAGTATTGTCATTATATGCTGTTATTGCACTGCCCTTTTCATCTCAGGTTATAGATCTTATTGCAGATTTTTGTATATTTCTATTTGTATATATGCCATATCAATATATATGACCAGTTAATCAACTTGTTTGTGTCTTCTTAGTCTGTATATGTAATGTTAATAATGATACAATAAATGTCAGTAAAACATAAATAGGTTTTCTTTGTGCAACACTATAAATTTCATGCTGGCCTGTTGCTGGTTTAGCTGGTTGCCCAGCATGGTCACGCGCTGAAAACCGATTACTGAGCTAAAATCCAGCTCTCCTTATCGGATTCTTTCATCGGATTTCTGGGTCTTAATCAGATCTAAGAAATCGAAGTATGCTGTTTACATGACCACTTGAATCATCAGACAGGTTAACTGCCGAAATCGGATTATGATCAGATTATTACGGGCATGTAGACGCACTGGGTGTTTACAAACATCAAACACTTTCATTTCAATTCAATTTTTAATTTAATAAGCTTTATTGGCATGACCATATTCATTTACAGTATTGCCAAAGCATCATCAAAAGGAAAAAGAAGAATTAACGTTTAGAACATAGAACTTTAGAACAAGAGCAAAAGAACTCTTAATTTAATTTGATGTAAAAATAATTATGACAAGAATCACATAAAATAATAGCATAAATAGTGCTTTGGAATTGAGTTGTACAGAAAAATTAAGAGGGAAAATAATAATAATAAAGATCACTTTCACTTCCGCGTCAAGGAAACACATAACAGTGAAGCATCGTGCACTGGTGTGTTGGTGAAGTCATCCAGCATAGAGATGGCGCTGTGACCTGAGACCAGCTGTAGAAACCGAGTCTAACACATCGGCATGACTGTCTTTGCCGTCCTCTCGCTTTCGTCGTTCTCGTCACTCCCAAAGTACGCCTGGATTAGAAAATGGTTGTGTAAACAGGAGCGCCGTTGCGATGGGAGGCAAGTTTTTGGCAGTGTCCGTCAAAAAAGATTCCCGCGGAATTTTATTTAGACGTCTCTAAGATCCATCCATTGTATATGGAGAGCGACTGTCAGCGTCAGTATTTTCACCGAGAAGCTCGCCTGAAAAGCAGAACATACGGGCTCCGGGGAGCTGTACGTCAGATTGAGCAGTAGGTTAGCTCGTTCGGCTAGTTTAATAAGCAGGTAGCGGGCAAAGCTAAAATCTTAGTCAAGATTATAGTTAGTTAAGCATTACGAATTTGACTAACCTAGTTAACGCTACTTCAGTCGACGTTCAGCAACACTAGCAGGCTATGTAAAAGCTACTTGGAGTATCGTAAATGTAGCGAACAAATGTGAGTTAACGCTAGTTAGCTAACTAACTTAGCTAGCTTTTAGTACTGTTGTGCTAGGTAGAGTTAGCTAGCACCTGCGATAGTGCTGTTAGCTGGGTGTTCTGTGAAATTAGGGAACACTAACAGATAGATACAGAACTTAGTAAACAGCAGAAGAAAACAAAACGTCCGTTGAGAATAACTGGGACTCGAGAGTGCATGTACAGTGTGGCATCCTCCCGTTCAGTTTTTGCTAACTTAACACTAACTTACCGCCAGTCAAACTTGGCATAAGTAACGTTACTTGTTTTTACTTTTTGCTCGTTAACGTCACCTCGTAGTCATGTCATAGCTGGCTGCCAAGCAAGAAGCAGATTTTACCATTGCCGACAACTCACGCTTAAGGCCTCAGTCGTGAGGAATCGTCTGGTGCGGTGTAATTAATGTAAAATACAGCAAGCTAGTGGCTAATCTTGACGCGACGGAGGTGACCACCTGAGAGCAGTAGCGTAGCTAAGTTAGCTAGCTTGGTTGTTGGTCTCTGCGTACGTTGCTCCCTGCATGACCTACATGGGCATCATATTCTCCTATTAAAGTCGTGGCACTGGCGTAAGAAATGTCAGACAACCAGGGCAACCTGAACAACAACAACGTCCCGCTAAACAACAATGGCGGACCCAACAGAATGCGCAACCCGAACCTCAACCAGAACCCCCTCATCAACGTGCGGGACCGGCTCTTTCATGCCCTCTTTTTTAAGATGGCAGTCACCTACGCCAGGCTCTTCCCGCCGTCTTTTCGGCGGATTTTCGAGTTCTTCGTGCTTTTGAAGGTACGTTTTGTTTGTTTACCTCAGTCACCCACACGAGCTTTTTGTTCGTTCCACCTTAAATTGTTAAAAATTTGCCCCCGTTCCACCTTAAATTGTGCAGCAGTTACATTCTGGCGCCCCAGGTTGTTAATGAAGGCGATGTAAAACGGGTAAACATGCTCCTGTCCAGAATTTCTTGGAATATGTTGCAGGCATCAAATTTGTTATACATGTACTTATAGTTACATAAAAAAACAAAACAATGCAGTTCAAGGTTACTGCATCAAATATTGTGTTTTTGTACCGTTTTCAAACTAATACAGGTCAAACAGAATTTATCACTTCTTTCTGTTTTTATTAGATTTAACCTTCTGTCCCAACCTTTTTGGAATCAGACTTTCACATGACTGTGATTTTAAGTGACCACCCTGACCAGACTCGTTTTCATTGATATGCCACTTTCAAGAGCTGAATGTTAAGCATATGCTGATAACAAATAACAAGCCCACTTTCTGCTGTGATCACTGAATATGTTTGTACAAGCCCTAGATATGGATGCATTATACTTGCTATCATTTTAATTCTCACTTTCATTACTGTTTATATATATATATATCTATAGTCAAACTTGACTGTGTTAACAACAACTTTTTTTTTTACGAAGTGCCTCAGGCACCACTGCTGCACCATTTAAGGTGAAACAAGGAAATTCAAATAAGAAGCTGACTTTAGCTTGAAGTCACCCGCCCGCACCCACCATTATCCTCACTTGAACCTGGGCCCTTAATTATCATCTCAGCATAAGAACGCTGTTCTAACACGGAGGGGCATCTTTCAGTTATTATGCTTCTAAACTGGAACTCAGTTCCACCTTCTATTAGACAGACAAGCTCAGTTCACACATTAAACATATCACCATATGCTTAACATTCAGCTCTTGAAAGTGGCATGTCAGTGAATGAGCCTGGTCAGGGTGGTCCCTTAAATTCAGTCATGTGGAAACCCAAATCCGAAAAAGTTGAGACAGTATGTTAAATGCTAAAAAAAACAGAAAGCAGTGATTAGTAAATTCTGTTTGACCTGTATTAAATTAAAAACGGTACAAAAACCACAATATTTGATATTTTTACCTTGAACTTCATTGTTTTTTGTACATGTACGCTCATTCCAAATTTCATGACTGCAACACATTGCAAAAGTTAGGACAGGAGCATGTTTACCACTGTATTACAACACCTTTCCTATTAACAACATGTAGTTGAAATAAGCATGAGTGTCCCTGAAAAAGACAGAACCTAAAATACACCATGTGTTGCTTTAAAATATGTTAATGGTACTTTCACAGATGTGCAGGTTACTCACTAATACCGCACATACCATGACAGATCCTGGTCTTGACCAGAGCAGCATTTGTAGATACAGCGACATCTTCTTTTTTTAAACAACAGTTTGCTAAAGTATTCCAGAGCAATGTGTGATCTCCATTACAGAAATATGCTGGTTTTTAGTTCAGTGCTGTCTGAGGGTTCAAAGGTCACAGGTGTTTATTTGTGGTTTAAACCTTGTCCTTCACACACAGAAATTTCTCTGGATTTCATGAGTCTTCTGATGTTATGTACTGTAGAGGGTGAAATACCTAAAATCCTTGCAGTCGCTCGCTGAGGAAAATGATTATTACATTTTTAATGGTGTGTTTTTGGCAAAGTGGCTAACCTCAATCCATCCTTGCTCATAAAGGCCTAGGCCTTTCCTTTTATGCTGTTTTTATGTCCCAGCATGATTACATAACTTGTTTTTACTCTTAAATTGCCCCGTCACAACTTTTATAGAAAGTGTTGCTGGTAGCAGTTTCAGAATTAGCATATATTTACAAAATACAATGAAGCTGATAATGTAAAACATTACGTATCTTGTCTGAACTGTTTTCATTCAAATACAAGTCAAAGTAAATTTATCAATCACAGCTTTATGTTTTCATTTACATTTTACCTACTGTCCCAGCCTTTTAAGGACTGGGTTTGTTGGAGTATGTTGAGGATTAGAAGATGTAAACCTTTTCATTGCGCTCTACACAGGGGGGGATTCCAATGTTTGAGGGCCTGTTAGTCAAAGAGGCGTCCGTTAGGCATCTATTTTTTACTAATGAAAAAATAATTAAAGAAATGAATGTCAACTGATTCATTTTAAAGACCAATCCTGAGGCCAGAAGACAGCCCCAGGTGTTATATTATATAAACCCCTGGGGAACATGTCAGGGATTGCATAGACTAGTTGACTAATAAACTAGTCAACACTGTGAGCAGTGAAGAGCTAGGAGGAGAGAACAGAAATCAGTTTTCTGCTAAACACAAAGCCGAAAGTAGCCAGACCAGGTACGTTTTGACCGTGCAGTATGAGCAATGAAGTGAACTTTGAGTACTGGCTGGCAAACAGACTAAGATATCGTTTACTTGCTACCCACAAATTCAAACATAGTTCAGAAATAAAGTTTTAAAAATACAATATCATGAATGTTTCTTGGTTTAGCTACAAATTCTATACTAGTTTAAATTTTCTTTGAGAGGTCAGTTTCTGAGAGCTAAGATGATTTTAAAGTGCTACTTACTTCACTTCCTAGAGTGGCTGAGGCTGAAATTTGCTGAAATGCAACAAAAAGTCTTTTGCAGTGGAAAACACAGCATCTGTGACTAGAACCAACCCCTGTTAGCAAGTTGCTAACAAAATACTTTTCACAGACTTCTGGAATGCTCATGTTTTTTTTTTCCTCAAATAGTAATGGTGACTAATCAACTACTTTTTTGAATGACTAGCTGACTACTAAAAATTAATAATATGTAATAATTTTACATCAGCATGGAATGTACAAATCTTGTCAGAGGAATACATTTCATATGATACTGATGTGTTAATTTTCAAATCCTGTTTAAAAATTGTGATCGACAAAAAGAAACAATTGTTGTCATTGTCTCGTTTTATTGTGTATGTTTTTTCCTGTATATGTTTGTGTACCCCATCCTAATCATGTCGTCTCATTGGCAGGCCTTGTTTGTGCTCTTCATTCTGGCCTACATCCACATCGCCTTCTCCCGTTCTCCCATTAACTGCTTGGAGCATGTGCGTGAGAAGTGGCCGCGTGACGGTATCTTGCGCGTGGAGATCCAACGCAACTCAAGCCGTGCTCCCATATTCCTGCAATTCTATGAGACTGAGGGCTTCCAGGGTCTGGTCAAAGAGCCTGATGGAGACACGGAGGACGCTGGCCGAGCTCCTGTTCACCACGAAGAGGAGGAGGAAGAGGAGATGACCATGGAAATGTTTGATAACAGCTCTGTCAGGGTCAGTAATTGGGAATACATGTCAAAATGTACATGCATATTTGAAAGTTTTCTCTGCTCTGATACAGCCACTTCAACCAGGAAGGGCATTTTAATTGCCTGTTTAGTTGAAATAGGTGGGTTAGAACAGGGGGAAAAAGTACTAGGAACTGCTGCTGTAAGAGGATGTTTACAACCCATTATAATGGTTTAAAATTTAAATTAAACAATCAGTTCAAAGTAGCATTTGATTTTGATTTTTGAAAGAAGAAATGGCACAATAATTTTTGCATTATACTTTTTTCACCTTCATCAACCAAAGTAATATCATTCCAGTGATGGCAAAACATATACAAAGCAGCAACAAATGCAATTTTCAGTTAAAAACAAGTGGACTGTAGGCTACATTTTTGTGAAGGATGTATTGAACAGTGTTGTCTACATTGTGCACAAGAGTTAGATATGATTGCATTTGTCTAGAATGGTTTGTCTGGTGTGATATTAAAATTGTAAAACAAATTGAATCAAAACAGCACTTCAACCTGTTTAACCATATGATTTCTCTCTTGCCGCTACAGTTTGAGCTGGACATTGAGCCCCGGCTGAAGCCCTCCCTGAGCGCTGGTGTCCCGGGCTTGGGCCTGAACGACACGCAGGACCTCTCCTTTAGCCAGGCGCCCTCTAAAGGTATGCAGCCGCTGAAGGAGACTGTCTCCGAGATTGAGATGCTCACTCGAGCAGGTAAAGCTCCTCATATCTACCTCTTTCACCCTGGTGCCGTAGACATCCCGCTACACTCCTCCTCCTCCTCTTCTGCGACATCATGCCCTCCTTCCTCGCTCGCTTCCCTTCATCCACTCCTGGCCACGATGCCCCCACCTTGTCGTTCACTTTTTTTTTTTTACAACTCCCCATTTACTTACTCCCTCGCTCCTTCCCGGAACTGGTACGCACGTCACAGACCAGTGCTGGCAGCCTTGGAAACTGTACTCGTAGCTAATGTGAGATTACAGGAAGGAGGGATTTTAAGTTCCTGAAGTGCGTTCCTAATAGTGTCAGCCAACTGCTCCACCACTGCAGATCTGCTTTACTCATAGATGGTAATTAGATTTCTCGTCCGCCGGTAAACCCTTGGCTGTTTTGATCCTTGAAGCTTTGCTTGTGTGTGTAGTTTTCTCCATCACTACTAAATCACATTACATTGGTGCCAGGTCAGCAGCATGCAGTATAGATGCCTTATCACACTCTAGCAGTGTAGGCTCAGAGACAGTCAAACCTACATTCTAGGAAGGCTGCTGATTTTGTTGGCGGTCTTAAAATGGTGAGTGATGGAGTGGCACTCTGCCATCCTCACAGGCCTTGTATCAGCCCTGGAACAAAGAGAGCTGTAGTGTGTGAGTGTGTGTGTGTAGATGTTAGTGTGGCACACTCTAGCTGTCAACTGGGCTGCAGTGCATTCCTACAGATAATGCTTGAGCTTCAGCCTCACTAAAGCACAGAGCTGATTTCTTTGATTAGTACTATAGCTGGAATTTGCCTAGCATGTTCATGGAGTTAAAAAGTCAGAGCCGTAACTCTGAAATCTTACCAATTTAGTCACCGTGACAGCCTTGGTAGGACTGAATTTAGGATAGTGGCTAATACAGTTACCAAGTTTATAATCTGATTTTAGCTCTAGACACGAAAAGTGTTTTACAGAAACTTCCTAATGCGACAAAATTCCTAAATACTGTCCAAACTTTAGAATAACCTAAACAGTGTCCTAACTTCTGTTTTAACCATTTCTACTGTTCGCCATTCTGTTACAAAAAGAGAATGTTATTGTTTTCAGGCAGCTGTGACAAGCAGGATAACATGTTCAATACAACTAGCATAATAATGTTACAAAAATTCATATTGCAAAACAGTTGTTTCTCTTTAAAAGTGAAAATTCACCAGTTAAAATATTATAACAAAGGTGGTGAAAAATGAAGAGACTGAGTTGAATGTGTGGTTGATTAATAGGAGTAATAATGTTAGTGTGTAAGCAGGCTGGCTAAAGCCTTGGGGAAATTGAAACCGAAACTGGGGAGCAGGATTGTACTGTTAAACAGCAGTCACAATTTCCGTGCACTTTAGTTTTGTTTTGACGTATTTGTTTATTTTTTTACATTGGTAGGTGTCTAGCTAACTAATTTACATTTTTAATGCTATTTTGTTTATGGATTTACATTTCTACTGTGTGTGTATCGTCAGAGTGTGTAGTTTGAGAAGATAAGATTTGTAAGATAAGGAATAATTCCTAAGTTAAGATAAGATTTGTTTCTGTAATATGACTTAGCAAAAAATCTTATCTTCACCTTGTCAGGTTTTAACTTGGGACGTTTCTGTAATACCGCCCTAGATCTTTAGAAATTGTCTCCAGGAGGCTTACACCATGCATGCGGGCTGCCAGTAGAGTAGGGCAGTATACATTTCTCAAAATTGCTAATAGAAAATAGAGATGTTCTCTGATAATGGCTGCTTGTATCTGAGTCTGCCTTGTGGATAGCTGCTTTGGCACCATTAAACACCATTAAGTAGGATGTTAAGCACGGTTAAGCAGCATAGTTGTTGTCTTAGCATAAAAACATTGGCCAAGACTGTTAATATCATAACAATAATATTGCCAAGTTGCCATGACCTACCCTGCAGTCTTTGAGACAGTAATTTTGTATTATGAACTGTACGAACCATTTGAAGTTTTGCTAGATGCCTTAGAATAGAACTGACTGTTCTTCAGCTCACGTCATTTGGTGGAACCGTTGTATGAGTTCAGTAAATGGTAAATGTTGCATGTTGTTGCACGGAGATGTGATGGGTTTCTTTGTTTCTATGTGCAGTTTGGCCTCAGGAGGAATATATAGTGGAGTATTCTCTGGAGTATGGCTTTTTGCGGCTGTCTCAAACCACAAGGCAGCGTCTCAACATTCCTGTCATGGTGGTTACCCTGGGTGAGTTCCACTTGCCTCTCCTGTTGAAATAGCAAGTCAGAGTTACCACAGTGGTGAAATATCCTGTTGCTTTACCAACATTTTTTTTCCTGCCATCAGCAGCCTTTCATTTTCATGTGCTGTAGTGAATATTTTTGGGAAAAACATAAAGACATGTTCTGAAGATTTATGGCTTGTGACAGAGTACTTAAGAGGGAATAACTGACAGTTTGAAAATACTGAATTTTAAGTTTAGTCCAGCAGTTTGGTGACTGTTTTTCACTGTTCGTAGACCCAATGAAGGACCAGTGCTTTGGAGACGGCTTTAGTCGCTTCCTGTTAGATGAGTTCCTCGGTTATGATGACATTCTGATGTCCAGTGTGAAGGCCTTAGCAGAAAATGAGGAAAATAAAGGTAATTATTAGCTATTTGTTTTTTTGTACTGTGTGCGCTTGCGTATTTACATTTTGCAGCTTGGACTGGTGTGTCCATTCTTGCTTACACTGAAACACATCATTTGTGTTTGTGCTTAGGGTTCTTAAGAAATGTGGTTTCGGGAGAACACTACCGTTTTGTCAGCATGTGGATGGCACGTACCTCCTACCTGGCTGCCTTTGTGATTATGGTGATATTCGTGAGTATCTTACTTTGCAAGGCTGACATTTTCTGTCACATGCAGTAACAGAAAAGGTATAATTGATTGCTGGGTATTTGTGATTACTCTGACAGCATAGTACAACTTGCACGCTTCAGATGAAGTAAACAGAACAGTGCGGAAGAGGAAAATAAATCACTACTAAATTGACAGAAGAGCTAAAATGCATACAAAATATAAACAAGAGACTGTACCTGTTCTTATTTTTGATTTTTTGTTTTGGAGCAGGAGTAAATGTGCACCAAAATAGGCAAGAAAGATTAATGTTGCTCCACTTTCTGCTATTTAAGACAAATTATTACCATATATTCACAAAGAATAATTATGTAAGAAGCGGAAAACTGTTCTAACTGTACTTTAATCTGCTAGTCTGTGGGGTCAGACATTATCTTTTAGTGAAAATACTTTTCTAGAGACAACTTGTTAAAGCTTTTGGTGCTGGATTCTCTACAGTTCCAAAATTCTGTTCCCAGATGAGTCTCTCTAGTCTTAGATTTTTGATGTTTGGAGTAATAAATAACACAAGTATAACAAGCGAGCCAGCGACCAGCAAAACACTATCATTGGCTAACAGAAATGTCTTTTCCTTTGAGAGAGTTAGTGTACGTGTTGGTTTACCAGAGGCTGTATATATTGATTTAGAATGTTTTTTCATCCAACATAGACCCTCTCAGTGTCCATGCTGCTCCGCTATTCCCACCACCAGATTTTTGTCTTCATAGGTAAGCTTTCAAACAGAGGCTCATATTGACCACTCCTGCAAAGTATTGGACTAACTTTGAACTGTAATTATCATTGTCACTATGACTGTCCTTGTTTGTTTAAAATCACTGAATGACTGCTGTCTGCTGTGTCTTCTGTGTGCAGTGGACCTTCTGCAGATGCTAGAGATGAACATGACCATCGCCTTCCCAGCAGCTCCTCTTCTCACTGTAATCCTGGCACTTGTTGGTAGGTTACAGCACCTCTAGGTCACTCCACCTGCATATCCCGCACAGCAGACGTGTACTAAATGTGCTGCATGATGTGCAGTGTTTATAAATTATCTTAACTGCTGACTAGGGGTGTGCCGTTAAGTAATACGTCTTTCATAAGTTTGAATTGGGTGTGTCAGAGCAGGGACATCACATCTTATGTCTTGACATATTATCTAGATCTACTGATTGCACAACATGGTGTTTTTCTCTGTCACATCCACAGGGATGGAAGCTATCATGTCTGAGTTTTTCAATGACACAACCACAGCTTTCTACATAATCCTCATTGTGTGGCTGGCTGACCAGTACGATGCAATCTGCTGCCACACCAACACAAGCAAACGCCACTGGCTCAGGTATGGCAGCAGTCTTCCTTTGGTACCTTAGTGCACAACAAAATCCGGTTTGTCATTTAATAGCCCATTCCTGGAGAACCACAGGGTCTGCACAGTTGTGAGAACATACCTGAATCAAACTCACTGGCCAATAGTCAATTCCCTCAAAAGCTGAAGCCTTGAACCGGCTCAGGAGCACAAGGCAGTACTTTTCAGGCTTCAAGCCTCAAGTGTTCTGGCAAAATATCCATTTCTGGATTAAGGTCACAGAGCAAAGATCTACTTTACTTGAAGCAGTCATGACACTTTTTTTAGCTGTGTTTTCAACCAGCATGTAACACATTAGCTTTAGGTATCTTTAAATATTGATTTGCTGAACAGTTTGTAACTTGTTGTGCAAACAAAATGTTTCTGATTTTGTCTGTACCAACATAAACAAACAGTAAAGGCCAAATGTTGTTGGAGGTTATCTGTATGACGTTCAGTTCTCCTCACTGGCGCACACATGCTCTGGCCTTATTTTTTGGGTAAATGTGACACTTTTATTTTAAGGCCTGAATGGCCACTCTCTGAGGAGTCTTCTGTGCTATTTCTTTCAGGTTCTTTTATCTGTACCATTTTGCATTCTATGCCTACCATTATCGCTTTAATGGGCAGTACAGCAGTCTGGCTCTAGTCACTTCTTGGCTCTTCATTCAGGTAAGGTTATTTCGGCTAACCGAATTAATGTTTTGCATGGCAAATTAAACAATTAATTCTGTTCGTTTGTGCTTAGATGTCAGCGTTTCCCTACTAAGTCTTCAAATGGTCCATATTTTTGCTCTTTGCCAGTCCTCAGAATACCTTAATCAAGTAATCAGTTCTTTATTCCAGGTTTCAGCTGTGCTGGAAGGTAGGAGAGAGCAAAAATATAGACTGTTTGTAGGTCCCCCAGGACTGGCTTACATTGGCAAACATTAGTTTATAAATAATTAAAATCTGTATATGCCTTATGTTTTGTCATAACCCAACCAAAGAAATTATTTGGCTGTTTTTTCTCTCTTGCTCACTGTCTTTATCCACCTCCAGCACTCCATGATCTACTTCTTCCACCATTACGAGCTGCCGGCTATCCTGCAGCAGATTCGTATCCAGGAGATGCTGCTGCAGAATCAGCAAGCAGGACAGGGCAACCAAACGGCGCTGCAAGACAACCTGAACAACAACACCAGCGCAGTGGGCCCCGCTGGACGAGCTACAGCAGCTACTGCCGCTGCTACACCTGCTACAGTCAACGGCCAAGACCACCAGCCCGCTCCAGCCCAGCCGCAAGCAGAAGCGCCAAATGGCCTTCCCACACCCACCGCGCCTCCTGCAACGTCCAGCGATCCGAACTGGATGGCCGAGACGGCGGCTATCATCACAGAGGCCATTATAACAGAGGCGCTGTCAGCCCCACACTTGGACAGCGCTTTGCTGGACTCGCCAGCTTCCGCCACTGGTGTGAGTGTGACGATGGAGACGCAAGGTCAAAGCCAAAGCACGTCAGGCGAGAACCAGGAGGGTCAAAGTACTTCATCTGGAGATCCAGAGATAAAACCTCGGGGCTGTGCTCAGGGCCTCGGGCCTCCTGGAGGAGGAGAAAAAGATGAAGCAGGAGCGAGTCCTTCCCTCACAGACTGTAGAAAGTCCGAGGTAGGCGAAGTGGACACGCGGCAACACGCCGCAGACTGGCATGGCAAGAAAGAGGGCGAAAGTCGCACTGGACCGTCAACAGCTCCCTCCTGAGCTTGGCGCTTGTTCGCCCCCGTTCCAAACTTGTGATTCCACCTCCTTTCCTCTTCAACTAGCAGCAACCAAGCTTCTTCACCCTAAACGCATCCGGATAAGGCCTTGAGGAGGAAGAGGAGCAGCATCAGCGATGGAGCGCAATGTAATCACACCCCTTAATGTCTGGTCAAGAAATGGGGGGTGGAACTTTTTGTTTTCTTAGGGACTTTGAGAGTAAAGTGAGAGTAGACGCTTCTCGATTTATGTTGAAAAGACACAGTGTCAGGGTGAAATCTGTTGGAGAGCATTTGTGTGTGTTTTCTCCCTCCTTTTATAAGAGATGATTAATAGATGTTGGATTTCTTGAAAGACTGGGTGTGTTTGCATCTTATGACGTGTTTAACGATTATAGTACTTCTAATGACATCTTGAGTCATTCAGATCTCAGCATTGGTCCATGTCATGTAAAGGAGTATCTAGTCTTTATTATGGCTCAGTTAATTCAGGCAAACACTCAGCGAATGTTATGATTCCAGTTCTTGACACAGGTTTTTATGCAATAGCAGACTGCCCATCGAAAGGAAGAACCCAAGGTAGACCTTTCACTCACACCTGGAATGTTTAATCTCAGTCACTACTGCTTTAAAAAAATGAGCTTCGTTGCATTTTAAGTCGATTTGAAGACTACATTCAGGTGTTGAAGAGCGATTCGAGAATACTCTGTTGTGCTTGTTTCACATCTACTCATCTGGGTGTTGCGTGTTCCCAAAAAAGGTACATCCACCAAATCCTGCTAGAGAATCATCACCTAGAGGTCATTTTCATGTTTCTTGGTGGTTGTTGTTCATTGGGGGACACAACTGTATTTGTTGAGGTTGGTCATATTCTTCCCAGAGTGGACCTTCGGATCAGATGAGTTTTTGTTGAGGGCATTGAGAAACGGTTGCCTTAGTTCCATAAACCTGGTAATTGCGTTATAAGGTGATGGTACCTTAGGTCGATAGCCTTATAAGAGGGAACTGTCATTTAGATGCTTGCTCGTTTTTGTTTGTTGCTCTTCGCTTATTTCACAGCATTTAGGTAATAATTACATCATAAAAGCAGGCTTAATTGTTGGGTTTTCCTAAAATTTCCCGTATGAATATTGTTATTTATCTGCCAAATAGTAAATGTTATGGAATGTGGAATGTGAGAGCATAGTACAAAATAGTGAAGTAATTTCAGATACTCCTATCTGTATTGCTGAACATGCCGAGACCAAGTCTTACATGTGTAAATCAAATAACGATGCCTGTTCTGTCACAGAAGAGCATCCGATTATCATGCGTCTGCTGTTTAAAGTTTATGCAAAGTGTTACTCACTGCACATCAGTACCAATTAGAAAGACATCATCAGAGGTCAGTGAATGGTTGTCCAATGTTTTGTGCAGTTGAAAACCGAGCGATACTGAATTGAGAAAGCTGTGTATGCCTTACAGATCACCCCAAGCACACATGGACAGGACAAGCCATTAACCCACCTGCAAATATCCCTCCTGGCTTGACAGACTAAGTTCATTTTGTATAATAATCTTTACTCCGGTGAACAGATTATGAGATTAAAATCACCTTCACTCTGTGGCTGAGATAAGGGAGGAAACAGCACAATGTCTTTTCTTGGCAGGCTTTCATTTAAAGGCTATGCAACAAAATGGCAAAGTAAATGCCAGTGGATTTGGAGGGACGGTCTTATCCAAAAAAGAAAGGAAAAAAAAAGTGTGCAATATGTCAAGTCAGTTTGAGAGCAGTTTTCAGCATGAGTGCTTCACAAGTGAACTTTTCTGATCGGTTCTCTTGTTTATTTTTTTTCTGTGCCTATTTGCCGTTCTGTGTCAGAATGCAGGATGACAAGTTGCTTTCCTTCGAGGTCTATTAGGTGAAGAAAAGCCACAGTTCTAGATTTCCTCTTTCATTCAGATGTATTTAACTGTAAAAACAAGATGCATAAACAGACAAAAGGATTTTCCACTCAGAATGTTTGCTTGTGGTTATTTCTTTGTTGAAATAGACTTGCAAGGTAAAAAAAGTATTAGCCATCAGGCATTATGAATGTCTTATGAATTTTAAAATGGAGCTCTACAATGTAACTCTCGTCCCTGTCTTGACAAAATCCTGTACCTCCAAAATAGTAAGGGGAAAAAAACTTAACTTTGAATGGGAGTGAATGGAACATGACTTTTGCCTAGTAATTTCTGTTCCATTCACCATGACATTTTACCTCAATATAAAGAACAGCTGGTATTTTCAGATGATGAAAAATGACAAAAATGCAGATGCAAAGTTTTGTCCCAACAGCAAAGTACCATAATCTACGTAATGTCTTGGATCTTGGATGCTGGGTTGGGTCAGCCAAAATGTCTGCATAATTGAATTGTTGAAACATAAAGACATTCAGAGTGTTTTGATGTCAAACGGTTAATTGCAGAGAAACTTACTGACTCGGATTTCTTTACAGTGGTGGTGATAGGAACCAGGTGTTACTAGTCTACAATGCAACCACAGGCATTGATGATAGTAGTGTTAAATCTGAAAAGAAAAAGGTTTTTGGGTTTTTATTTTTGTCTTCGCGATTAATGGATTTTAAAAATTTGTTTCAGACCAAAACCATTCCTTTAAAACTATCATACAATAATGTGTCAGGCATTGAGCTGAATATTTGAGGGAGCTTTTAGAGACATTAAACACTTCAGATACCTGGTTCCTACCACTGAACGATTTGATTATTAAAAAAATAACACTTAGCGAGGGGAAAAAAAAACATGGTTGAAGCATTATCCAACCAGCTCTTGTCTGACTAGTCCTCATCTTGCACAGCCCATGCCTGGTGTTCTGAACCATTATTTATACCTCCAACACCTTCACAAAACACAATGACCATTAGCTTATTTTGGATGAAAACAGGCTGGCGTCCCTTTGCTGAGCAGTTCCTACTGTGAGCCTCATGTTTCAAGCTGCTAACATGAGCCTACGGGAATAGAGAAGAGTCATAAATCAGGATTGACAAAGGACTAAGGCATCGACAAGTCACGGGTAACAAAATAATCAGAAGAGGAAGAAGTCTTTTGGAGTGCAGTGGTCATTCTTTTACACCAGCGGTGCCCAAACTTCTTGCATTGGAGGCCGAAAAAACAAAATATCTAACTAGCAACTCATCAGCTTTACACTTTTGCACGTTTACAGTATATGTGGAGAAACTATTCTTTAAATACTGAAGAGCTTTCTTTACATAGAAGTCGCACTGCCTCATCTTTAAACTCAGTGAAAAGAAACATCGCACCAGTGGTTTTAATCTCATCAGTATACCATCACCTGTTCACTCTAATTGTTACATCTGTGTTGCGGTGACAGTTGTTTGGTTTTGAGTATGGCTGAACGATCTGTTGAAAATGTCCAATTGTGATTCTTCTGACTAATGTTTTGAGTGCAGTTCAAGCTGCAAGTGTTTTTAACTTTATTTTGGCCAAGAAAACCAGCAAATCCACTTTTCCTGGCTTTGAGGCCTGAATGCTGAACAGTTTGCCAGACTTCCAGTTAGCTGTGGTTGTGTTGTCATGTACAAAGGCACTGGTTGCTTTTGATTGGTAAAACTCATTTACAGTCATTTTACAAGCTAGGCTTTGATTAGTGGGTGCCACATTTCCAAAAGTCTGCTCTTACAAAGGTTTTATGTATGGTTTAAAATTTGTTTATTAATGGTTATTAAGTAGGTCATGAACACATAAGCACTTCTAAATAAAAAGAGCAACAAAGACCTGTTATATCTAATAAAGATCTGATGAAGCTGACAGGTTTAATGATGACTGATGGCGAAGACGAATTAAAATAACCAGCAAAATCTGACATTTAACAGTGTAGATCCTCTGTGTCAAACACAAGGCCTGCGAGCCAGATCAGGCCCGTCTCACAATGCACTACAAACCCCAGCATGCACTGCAAAGATATGTGTCTCTCACCCCCCTCCCCCAAATTGATTACTGAACTTGTGCAAAAATGCTAGATGTCTAGTTCAATATATATATTTCTAGTACTTAAAAAGGATGGTTCTTCATTAAAGAAAGTGGTTCCATATAGAACCATGAACATTCAAAGAACTGTTTTTCATGATTTATAGGGTTCTTTGCATCATGAAAGCATTCTTCAGGTTGATGGAGAATGTGCTGTAGATGGTTCTATATAGAACCTTATTGAAAAGGGTTCTACTGAAACACGCCTGACATCATAACAATAGAAGAACCTTTTATAAAAAGGTTCTATCTAGAACCATATATAGCACATTCTCCATCAATCTGCAGAACCCTTTAGTGATTAGTGGAGTTTGACCCCCTGATATAGATGAATGTGGGCTCAACAGGTCACCACTGCCCTTTTTATTTGTTTTTGCATTTTAATGATTTTTTGACTTTGACTTATTTGACTTTTTGATTAGTTATTATTATTATTATTATTATTTAATTAATTATGGATAACTGCTTATTAATGATTTTTAAGGTGTTTAAGGTGTAATTAAACTCTTCAAAACCCTTTATATCGTTAATCTCATTGTAAAGTGGTATCAGCAAATTGCAATTTCAATATGAAAACAGCAAATCAGACCAAGTGTCAAGGGTCAAGGCTTATTTTAATACATTACACTATGTTTTGTTACTAAAAATATTTTTCAAAGAAAAGTAAGGAACTAAGAAATAAGATGTGTTCTTCCACTGGATGAGGGGGTGGGGTAACTTTCCACTGGGCTAAATCAAATGTCCTTGGCCCATAGGTGGCCCTGTTTTACCGAATTTTGGGCCCCAAAATGGGACTGATTGTGAACTGATTGTGAATGAATGTGATTTATAGGATGAAGTGTAAGCATTTGCATGTGTCCTACTCAGAGATAATATCCATTTCTTCTGACCTCTTCATGGTCTTAGCTACTACAAACAAAACTGAGCTCATTTGTCACGTCGTTCTTACGTTAGACTTTATTTGTGAAAAACATTCAGGCCAATTAAACAGTACTATAATTTCAGATCAAATACTTTAGAACCGAACAAAATTCTCTAAAACCCAGCAAACACATTGCCTCTGATCTCTGTTGTCACGTTGGTGCCACAGATTGTCATTTTAGATCACATTTTTTCAAATCTCAGAACGGGTACTCTTACGAACCACCACCAAATCAGACAGAAACAAATCTGCAGAGTAAAGCAAATAGTCCTCTGGGGGATTATAGAAAGCTATTTCTGTGCATTTTCTCCACTGAGAAGGAGAGCCAGCCATGCTGTCGTCTCCTGCCT